TCCTAAGGAAGTATGTTACTCTTCTCCCCTGTCAGGCTGACTGGCCTCAAACTGCTGTTTTGTACTTCAAATTTGGGCTAATTAAGCATTTTCTGATGGTTCCACCTGGTCATTTTTGTGGCAGAAATATGTCAAGGAAGAAATAGTAGCAGCAATCATGACAATGAAATGAATGGATCTTGACAAGAGTTTGAGCCACATAGAAATGGTTCCAGCATGTCCTTTGGCAACGTTGCTGACCAGTTGATTTGCAGAAATCAGGGAAATGATGTCATCTCCAGTTCCCCACATCTGCATCAAGATCAGGTGCCACACGTGGGAACTCTGCTGTGGCCCTCAGCCGTGGCTGGACGTCAGGATCTACCTGCGAGTTGCCAAGAACCTGTTGCTCAAGCTGGGATCCAACCAAGTGCATCAGGACACCTGGAGTGGGTCCCAGGACTCTGTATGTTTTATCTTCCCCCAGGACACTCTGATGTGTCAGGACTGACAACCACTGTTCTGTCCCAGTGCAGTCAAACTCTACTGCATATATGGGCCACCAGAGGATCTTCCTGGCCAGCGCCCACCTCCTACACACAAGCATTGCAGTACAAGGTAATTAGGGCATGGGGAGTTTTTTGAAAGATCCTCTAATGATTCTGGTGTGCGAATGAAGTTTGGGAGTCCTGCTGGGTCTATGCCTAGAGCTGCATTAAACCAGTGCTTCTCGGACAAGCATCACAGCAGACGCACTTGGAAGATTCTTAAGCCATTATTGGCCACCATGCTATCCGTAATTCCGGATGTCAGACAGGAATTTGCTGCCCCAGTCTATTTGCAGGTGGCGGCGCTGTGCTGGTCTGGGGACCACATGGGACAGTCACTGTGCTGGGCTCTGGAACCAGCAGCTGTGACTGGGGGTCTCGTGTATTCCCTGAGTGAAATCTCGTATGAACCTGGAGGAAAGACTTCCAAGAATAAAGAAATGTCCTCACTGCCTTCTGTTCTCTGCCTTAGCAGTTCCTGTCCACTTTAACAGATGGGCATAAACCTAAATGACGGAAAACAAGACAGAGCTGTCACGGGGCAGCCCCTGGAGGTTGGAGGTGTGCTGGGGTACATGGCCTCCCTGGTGTAAAGTCAAGGTGGGGCAGGGCCCCGCTCCTGCCTGGGGACCCCCGAGCAGCCCCCTGGCCCTGCGTCTGCCAGCCACTTTGGGCTGCCTGCATCCTTGGCTTAGGGTCCCCTTCTGCCTTCCACGCCAGTCACAGCTGATCAAATCTTACTGATATCTACTTGGGAGAATTTTTTAAAATAATTTTTAAAAAAGATTTATTTATTAATTTGAAAGGAAGAGTTAGAGGGGGGGGGGAAGATGGAGGTAGGGAGTTGGGGAGAGAGATCTTCCACCTGCTGGCTCACTGCTCAGGTGGCTGCAGTGACCAGGGCTGGGCCAGGCTGAAGCCAGGAGCCAGGAGCTTCTTCCAGGTCTCCCATGTGGGTGCACTTGGGCCACCTTCTACTGCTTTCTCAGGTGCATTAGCAGGGAGCTGGATAGGAAGTAGAGCAGCCGGGACTTGAACCGGCGCCCATATGGGTTGCTGGTGCTGCAGGCCATGGCTTCACCTATTGTGCCAAAGCACTAGCCCCAGAGAATTCTTTTAACTACTGCATAATTCAGACTTCTCTCCCTACTTTGAAGTCAGCTAAGTGGCAACCTTAATTCTCCTTTGCCGTGAAAACTTAACATACTCACATGTCCTGGGGCTTGGGTTGGGGTGGAGGGGGCATCGTTCCACTGGTCACACTGCCTTCTCCAACCCCAGAGTGACAACGGCTCCCCCACTGCAGAGTTGGGAACTGGGACAGGTTACGTAAGCTTTCTCAACTGCCGTTACCCAGGGAATTCAAGTACCTACCCCAGAGTGGCAAGATAGGATTTCTCATATTATATTGCTTAATTCATAATGCGAACATGTATCAGAACCTGGCAAAGTCATATTAGAAGATTTAGAAGTTACTGTTGTAACTGTTAGCATTTTCCATCGTAATTGAGTTCCGTGGCTCTGCCTGCAGTCGCTCTTCCCTCACTTCTTAGGCAGGCACTGTTAGCCGTTACGTGGGCATCTTTCCAGAGAGATCCTATGCATGCACAGGCGTATGCAAATGCACCAGTTGTTTGCACAACTGATTGAGTACGACAGCTCTCTCAATAATGCTGTCATTCCTCACACTCTCTAACAGCGACGTACTTTCTGTTTTATGAATGTGCCTCGATCCGCTTTGCCGGCTCTTCACTGCTGTGCCTTTAGTGTTTCGTTCTCTGCAGTTATGATCAGGGCTGTGGCTAATCGTCCTCTAACTCACTCCATTTGCACACGCGCCTGTGTGTGTGTGCTGTAAAGCGAGCCTTCCGAGTCCAAGGTGGTGTGCGTGTTAGAATTTGATAGATGTGGCCAAATTTGTCTTCACGTATCTTTGATCCGTTTTCAGTTCTATCAGTGAGAATGTGTATCTCCATGTACCCTTGGCTGACTCACTTCCTCATTTTTATTTCTGCCACTCTGATAGGTGAAAACAGTGTTTCCTGTTTTCGATTACTGTCTCTGTTAGTATGAATGAATCAAGCATTCTCTAATGTATCTCTTACCAAACAGATTTCCTTTCTGTTAACTTCCAGTCTATATCCCTCATTCATCTTTCTTTAGAGGGGTTGATTTTTTTCCCATAATGATTAATGAATGTGATTTAATAACAGTTTAATGAAAGCTATCTTTTCTGTGATATGAGTTACAAAAAGACTTTCATTTTGCCTGCTTTGGGATATTGATTTACAGACACATTTTATTTGTAGGTGGTTTAAATTCTAAATTGTTCCTGCAATTATGGTTCTGTATCATGCTTAGCAAGTCCTTCCATATCTTAGGTTACATAAAATGGAATTTCCCAGGTTTTCCTTGAATAATAACATATAAAATGTTTGCTCTTTGAATCTCTGGAGCTGTTTTGATCTGATAGATAGGGGTACAACTTCAAGATTTTCAGAAGTCTCAACACATTTACTCATTGTTTTTCTTTCTGTGGATACACAATACTGCTCTCTTTTTAAAAACAGAGAGAAGGAGATCTTCCAAATGACCAAAATGGACAAGCAGGTCTTGGCCAGGCCCAAGACAGGAGCCTGCAACTCCATTCTTGTCTCCCACAAGGGTGCAGGGACACAAGCACTCAGACCCTCTTCTACTGCTTTCCCAGGTGCATTAGCAGGGAGCTGGATCAGAGGTGGAGTAGCTGGCGCTCATACGGGATGAAGCCTTTGCCTTAACCCACAGTGCCACGGTGCTCACCCTACACAATATTGCTTTTATTACCCGTGAACATTTTGTATTTGCTTGTCTTTCTGGTTTTTCCTTTCTGTTCCGTTCCTGTCTGTTCATGCACCTGTGCCACAGACTTAAAATCTGCTTAAGGATCTGACCCATCTCTCTGCCTATTTACTCTTCTTCTGGCATGCTCTTTTTCTGGCCACTTTTGCATATTTGCTTTAAAATTGTATTTCTTTGCTAGAAAAAACTGCTTGGTACTTTGTCCATGGTCTGAAATTCATGGATTAATGTAACAATGCCCCTCCTAAATTGTTGAGTGCCCCCATCTTTCCGCAGGGTGTGCCGTCCACTTATACAAATGTGCTGTGCACCAGAGAAGCATCGCAATGTGCCCACGTGGTTCTTATGCCTTTCTGCTGTCTATTGTCGTTCTTATTTTGAGTGAGATCTTGGTTCCAAAAGGTGGTTATTTGGATATATTTCCGCAACCTATCTCTACCCTCAACTTCTGCTCTAGAACCTTACCGAATCTTATTTACCATTGTAATAGTTTTTCAATTGATTCTCATGAATTTTTTATTTATGCAATTATATTGTGTTCAAATAATGTGGATACACAATACTGCTCTCTTTGTAAAAAGAGAGAGAGAAAGAGATCTTCCAAATGGCCAAAAAGGATAGGCGAGGCTTGGCCAGACCAAAGACAGGAGCCTGGAACTCCATTCTGGTCTCCCACAAGGGTGCAGGGGCACAAGTACGCAGACCCTCTTCTGCTGCTTCCCAGGTGCATCAATTCTCTCTACTTTATTATTATTATTATTATTATTATTATTATTATTATTTGACGGGCAGAGTGGATAGGGAGAGAGAGAGAGAGACAGAGAGAAAGGTCTTCATTTTTTGCCGTTGGTTCACCCTCCAACGGCCGCCATGGCTGGCGTGCTGCGGCCGGCGCACCGCACTGATCCGATGGCAGGAGCCAGGTGCTTCTCCTGGTCTCCCATGGGGTGCAGGGCCCAAGCACCTGGGCCATCCTCCACTGCACTCCCTGGCCACAGCAGAGAGCTGGCCTGGAAGAGGGGCAACCGGGACAGAATCTGGCGCCCTGACCAGGACTAGAACCCGGTGTGCCGGCGCCGCAAGGTGGAGGATTAGCCTATTGAGCCACGGTGCCGGCCCAATTCTCGCTACTTTTAAAATGCGTAATTCCAATTTCCTTCTCTTATCAGGCTGGATGTGGTAACATTTGATTTCATCACTATTTATTCTCCATTCTTCTAATTTCATTTTGTTCTTCATTTTGGTTAGTTTTGCCAACAATTTATCAATATGATTATTTTAAAACTTTAGATTTATTTAATGGTTCTATCATGTGTCTCTTATAATACATTCATTCATATTTTTATTATTTTTTTCCTTCTGTTTTCAGTTTCTTTAATAGCTATAGTATTTTTTCTAATGTGTTGAATCTTGCATTTATTTTCTATTAATTTGTCCCTTTTGCTTTGTTAGTAGATGTTTTATGAATCCTTTTTCTAACTCTTCAGTTGGATGATTGTCATTTATTATCATTCTTAACATTTATACAACACTGTAAAAATTTTTTAAAGACATTTATTTAATTGAAAGTCAGAGTTACACAGAGAGAGAAGGACAGGCAGAGAGAGAGAGAGAGAGAGAGAGAGAGTCTTCCATCCGCTGATTCACTCCCCAGTTGGCTGCAATGGCCAGAGCTGTGCCTATCTGAAGCCAGGAGCCAGGAGCTTCTTCCAGGTCTCCCATGTGGGTGCAGGGGCTTGAGGACTTGGGCTGTCCTCCACTGCTTTCCAAGACCATAGCAGAGAGCTGGATAGGAAGTAGAGCAGCCAGGACTTGAACTGGTGCCCACAGAGGATGCCAGCACTGTAGATCGGGGCTTTATCTGCTATGCCGCAGCATGGTCCCCTGTAAAATTCCTGAGCGTTTCTTTTGGCACAATACGTAGGTTCTGGATATGAACTGTACTCACCAACGTTATCTTCTAGGTCCTCACATCTCTGCTCTGATTTCCTTTGTGGCTCAAGTACATCGCAGGCAGGCGATCCTGTCGAATTGTCATTTCGTTGTGTGGAGTTAGAACATTCCCTCTTTATCATTTCCACTTGCAAACATTTAAGGAACTTCACCTCTAGACCTAACGTGTCTGCAAAATTGGCAATTGTTTCTTCGGATTCTGGGAAGGAAGATGGATGACCTGATTTCCGGTTATAGAGTGGAAGAAATTGCAAACAGGTCTAACCAATGGGCTGAGATTACAGACAGGTCTAACCAATGGGCTGCCCTGTCTAAGCCCTCGTTGTTTGTGCTTTTTTTGTACACGTGATCTGTTATGGGCTGAGAGAGGGGAATTAAAGTCTCCCACCACTGACGTCCTTCTGCCTGGCTGTGTTCTGGTGATTGGGACGTGATATTCCCGTCGCGTGTGGACACTCGCACCTCTTCCGTCTTCAGTGCTGGTTCTGCCCTCTGTCCACACACAGGGCCACCATCCACCATGGTTAAGCTAAAGCTGTCTGCCCTAGTTTTAATCTTGTCTGCTGCATATTATAGTGATTGTGGCTTTGTCTTTGCCTAAGATATCTTTCCACATTCGCGGCATCCAACACTCGATCACTTTACAACCCAGCAAAGCAGTGCGTAACTAAATTCACAATCCAATATGGGAGTAAGTTTAGCCAATTTACATCAGCTGTCTCATATTGTATGTCACTATTTCTCTTTGTATTTCTTATGTTTCTCCTCTTTTGTTCTCAGTGTGTGTGTCTATTTTGTTCCATATTTTCATTATTATAATAGCTAACTACAATCACAGATTGAAATGAGGCAAGTTCATCTCAGACAGCTCAGAGACAGTCACATCCCAGATCAGACCCAGCGCTGGCTCCAGACTCCGGCTTCCTGTTTGTGCATACTCTGGGAAGCAGCAAGGGTCGGCTCAAGTAATTGGGTTTTATTCACCCATGGAGGAGACCTGAATTGAGTTCCCAAATAAATAGCCAAACAGGTAGATGATGGATAGATAGATAGATAGATAGATAGATAAAAAGGATTCAAGGGAGAGATGGTGAAAAACAAGAACACACAAAATCTTTGTAACTAATGTGTTGGGGAAGAGAATCCTACAACTGAACCAAAAGTATTAAAATATTTTAAAAACAATACAAGAAACATCAGTATAAGAAGACTTGGCTATGCAGATGGAAATGTTTTTACAATGTGCTCAAGAAAGAAACTTGTGTAATATATAATTTATTTTACTGAGACTTTTAAAGACAAATACAGAAATACTTTACAATAAGGTAAAGGAAAAATCAACTTAGTTAAAGTAAAATTATACTGATTGAAGGCTTTTCACAGTGACATTTTACATGGGCAGATAGTGAGACAATATCTGTAAAATACTCATGGAAATAAAATGTTATTCCAAGGCCACAGACCACACTTTCTAATGAAATGTAGAAATTCTAGTTGCTAGGAAATCTTCCTGGCTGCTCAAAAAAATAATTAGCTAACAGAAAAAAAAATGAGAAAAGGCCACAAATAGTGAACACCAGCTAATGATACATATGCAAAGTCTGCAAGGGTAAAGTGTATGACATCTGTAGTCTATTCTGAAATGCATCGGGAGATTAGATACATTGATGACTACACGGAGGCATTAGTAACTGGGTTGCTCATTGATAAAACAAATGCAGCAAATAGTGATGGTAGAGTTTAGTTGATGGTTAGTGAGGGTTCACTTTGCATATCTATTTTCATTATTCATCTGTTTAAAATTTTCATAATAAAATGGTGAAAAATGAATCATAAAACCATAGCTCTCTGCATGTATTCTGCTATAGGATTAGGCATAAAACACCGGTGGGAATTACAAAATGGAAATCTATTGTTATAAATCATGGCAATTTAGAACTGCTATAACTAACAAGCACTCAGAGAAGGGAGAGGTGATAGGAGGTAGAGAGGAATTTACAATCATGGACCAAATACCGATCATTGAATGGTGACAGACCAAGACTTTTAATAATGGTGATAGATAAAGACTTTTCATAAATGTTAGTACCAGAAGCACTAATAGAAAAATAACCAAGTAAGGCTGACACTGTCAGATTGGGACACTTTGTAGTGTCCTCACTGGTGATGGTGGTGAGTTGAGACTGTCTTTAGAAAAAGAGAATCAAGTGTATAAGAGGCCTTCAAAAGGTTCCTGGAAATATGTTATGAAAAAACTATGTATGGATTTTAAAAGTTGTTTGCAACATAATAAACTCTTCTTTTGATTTCATTTTCTCGTGATTTTCTTAAAAATTTGATTTAACTTTTTCAAATTCGGTGTTTCCTATTCTGAATTGTGTCTGTTTACTTTGAATTGATCACAACATGATAGACTGAATTTTTTAAGTACCCTTTGTTGTTGTTGTTGTTGACAGGCAGAGTTAGACAGTGAGAGAGAGACAGAGAGAAAGGTCTTCCTTCCATTGGTTCACTCCCCTATTGGTCATTACGTCCGGCGCACCACACTGATCCGAAGCCAGGAGCCAGGTGCTTCTCCTGGTCTCCCATGGGGTGCAGGGCCCAAGCACTTGGGCCATCCTCCACTGCACTCCCTGGCCACAGCAGAGAGCTGGCCTGGAAGAGGAGCAACCAGGACAGAACTGGTGCCCCAACCGGGACTAGAACCCGGGGTGCCAGTGCTGCAGGCGGAGGATTAGCCTAGTGAGCCACGGTGCTGGCCCTTTTTCTTTTTTTCCTGTGTTCTTACAGCTCATTTTCCCTTTCTTTATCTGCACTTCTTCTGCCCCTGTTTTGCGCTATTAGATTGCTTCATTAAGTTGCTCTCATGTATGGCCGTATCCTTTGCTGGAATGGTCCACTGGCTGGTTGAGTGTTTATGTCCACTGGATCTTCCTACCCTTGTGTTGTGTTGTCTTTGTATCAGCCCCATGCTGGAAGGGTTGTGATGTATTTCTTGCCTCTCGATGGAAGGCCTTCCTGGACCGGAACTTGCAGGAGGTTTATCAGGGATGGAAGCATCCCAGACCGGAAGCCATCACTCCCAGGCTGTGGTGAGGGACCTCCGGGGATGCATCCACGTCTCTGGATGCACTGCTCTGCCGTGACTTCTCTCCAGCCAAGGCCAGCGGGTTGCAGGCTGTTCCTACTCCCTGCAGCTCTCCTCTCTACATTTCCTTGAGCACTGGGGACAGAGTTTGTCCAGCCCTGCCTCCCTGCTGTTCTCTGCTTGTTCTCGACAAGTTCTGGAGAATCACCCTCCATCACCCCCAGCCCCCTGCCACCCCAACAATGATACCGCAGCTTGCGAGCAGCTAAGCCATTGTGCGCTGGCCCCTCAGGATGGTTCCCTGTTCTCTCATGATCACCTCCTACTTTCCCGTTTTATTTCCTCTGTTTTCGGGCAGTTAACCTGAGTTTACGGAATTCTCATAGCTTTGTTTTCCAAGACGGATATGTCTCGAGCCTCCTCATGAATGACTTCCATTTGCACAGGGTCTGTGCGTGATTGTTTGCAGGGTCACCCTCTTACGCCTAGCAGGCTTCTTCGCTTGCCCTGTCTAGTGTCTTTAAAGTTGTTAGATTGCTTTTTCTGTTTCATTCATTTATATGTGTAAAGGTGGGAAAATTGGATAAATGAAAATTGAGTGCTGCGGGGCAGTCTTGCCTGCAAAACCCCACATTGCATCCCTTTGACAAGCGTGCAGAGTGGGCATTGTCATCCACCCCTCACAGATGGCAGGAGGGATTCCGATAGATCGCAGGCTGGGGCAGGACCCATGTGCTCATACACGAGGGGGCAGAGGTTGGCACCTTCACGGATCCATGATGCCGTCTTTCAGAGCTGGGCATAAGCCTGAATGGAAGAGAACAGTCCCTGAATGGAATGAAAGCGTTGACATTTGAAACAGATTAGAGAAAGCAGAAAATTGCCCTTATTTATCAGTGCAGCCTTGGCCAGGCTGACAGACTGTCTAATTGGCTCATATATATCTTTCTGTTTCAGGGCACGATTCTGCTCATTAGCGTGCGATTCTCTTGCTCCTAGCAAGGCAGGGACTGGGGACACAGGCTTGGACCCTGTTCCCACGTTGAGCCCTGCTGGACAGCACAGTGGCTTTTGTGTTATATGGATAACCCAAGCCGAGGACTCATCCCAGCCCTTCACTGTACTTACTCTTGATGGATGCCCTTGCCAGTCCAAGGAGCAAGGCTTTTACTGCTGCTCTGTCTGTCAGCAGCACTCAGTTCACCTCCTGTTCATTTCAGTCGCAATGATCTTGCAGGAGGGTGAGGACTGTGCGCTCTCTGCACAACCTCACTGCTTCCAGCAGGTTAGGGTGCTGTATAAGTGGCTCTAATTGAGCGTTATCTGCTTTCTTAAATAAGTGTCTTTAAATTGAGCGTGATAGCTGTTGCACTCTCGATGGTCCGCTTGGTTTTTCTCTCGTCATCAGCTGCACCCAGCTAGTACAAACAAGATCCCGATAGACATTAAAGCTCTCGTCCCAAAGCAGTGGGTTAGGACCTGGGCCGTGGTCCCCACGGAGGCCTGGGAAAAGGTTGGGGCAGCTGACGCATGGTGAAGTGTTCTCGAGGAGTGGGAAGGAGGACAACCATTCTGTGGATGCAGGCATTTTCTGTACAGGGGAGGTGGAAACATTTGCCAGCCGCAGTACCGCATCTCAGAACCGCAGCCATCAGCTTGGCAGCATGACCTTTTCTGGCGCATCATGCCGTGGGCTTTGCTGTCACGCTAAGACAGCATGACAGGACCGTGCACTGCCTCCTCAGTAGATTTCCCCGTCCTTAGCTTCACAGACAGGCTGCCAGGGAGTGTAGCACGTAGCAGTCCTGTGAGCTCAGAAATCACAGCGCAAACTACACTTCAGGCTTTATCTTATGCACATATATGCATGAGTACATGTGTGTATACACACACACACACACGCACACATGCACGCATGCACATGACCTCGCCTTTGAAGTAAGAGACCAGAGAGGCTGTCACGTTTCTGTCTAGCATCAGGGAAGGACAGATTGGAAGTGTCAGGACTCGTCATTCTGAATTTAACGTGGAATTATCTAATTATATTCGATTCAACAACTAATGTAGAAACTACTAATTCCAGCCCCAGCCAGCACTTTGCAGATTTCCCCTGTTTTCCTGTGTAGAATATGATACTTGGCACAAATCCTAGATCAGACTTCCTCTGCAGCTGTGTTGCAAAGCGATCGCCCTGGTAGGAAATTGGTTGTATCATGCGTTGGAAGAAGCAAAGGAGACACTGACATTCCCAGTGTCTTCGTTTCAGCCAGAAGAATTCTCACAGACACTAATCCCTGTATCCTTGGAGCACCCCACTGTGTGCCAGAGATGGGATGCCCTGTTGTGTGCTCAGTGTAAACAAAATCTAAATGGTTGCTGTACCCCAATAGCCAGCTAATACATTTTGTATCGGACTAACTGTTGGAACTCATTGTCCAATATAAAGTGTTGACTTTGAAAAAAGCCTGCATGTGATGTCACTCTGGTTAATATCATGACTTCTGCAAATAGACTCGTCCCTCAGTAACAATGGGGGGTGGTTCCAGGACCCCTAAAGGTCTCCACTCCACAGGTGCTCACGTTCCTCCCATAAAACAGAGTTGTGTTTGCACAGAACGGTCACACATTCTATTGTTCCACTCAGGCTCCCTAGTATAGAGCATTCCGATGGCAGAAACAGCTGTTTTATTGTTTAGGAAATAATGCAGCAATGTGTACATGTTCAGTCCAGACACAATTGTTTTCTGAATGGCTTTGATCCGTGATTGGTTGAATTCTCAGGTGCAGGACCCACAGACATGGAGCACTGGCTGTATCCTAACCGTGTGCGTGTCTGTGTGCACGCAACTTCCCAAGCAGCTGTGTAAGGCAATAGCAGTTTGGAAACCAGCTATGAATACTGGATTTTTATTCCAGAGCTCATGCTGATGCATTAGTGGGGTGTTCCCCAGGGACCCCCTTCTCTTTCTGTATAGTGGGGTGTTCCCCAGGTACCCCCTTCTCTTTCTGTATAGTGGGGTGTTCCCCAGGTACCCCCTTCTCTTTCTGTATAGTGGGGTGTTCCCCAGGTACCCCCTTCTCTTGCTGTATTTACATAGCTCCCTGGTTGCATTTTCCCCGTATTTTAATCGTCTGGGTTGTGTGTGTTTGTGTGTGTATGAGGCAGAATGTTCATTTTATTTCTGAGGTTGGCCCAGTGGGTCTTTCTGGGTCTCAGCATCTTGGGCTGGTTAGTTAGTGTCTTCCAGCAGTGACAGCTGCCGTGGAGGGGCCTTGCTGTCATCGCTAGTGTTCATGGCAAAGCGGTAGCTCCTTGTTGAATATTGCATTTGTGTCAACAACCCCAAGAGTTTCTGTTACGCACGCATCATGTTGCTACCCTGAAATTCTAACCACAGTGATGCATTTGTCTACTCCCATGCAGTCCAGGACGTGTTCTGGAAACAGCTATAACTAAATTACTATCATTATTGTGCTTTGCCACACTGATGTTTGAAGCAATTGAGAATGCAATTTTAATTTAATTTATTCTGACAAGTATGTATGGCTTGTTCAGACTTAATATGATACAAGTCACACACGCACACTCACATGTGATCCCTGTGAGCACACCGCACGGGTCTGGAACCGAGAAGCGCTCAATTACCTCACGTGTTTGATGTGGAAATTCCTTCACCATCCCGAATCCGCTGCCTTTCACATATTGCTAACACAGCCCCGCTAATCTCTTTAGAAAGATTTATGTTGCTTTCAAAGAGAAGGGATTTCTGAGCCAGCAAGGATGCCGTGGGGCGCTAGACCACAGCAGCAAGCGCTTTCCTCCCATTGCAATTCTGCCTGCTTGCTCCTGAAAACCCCGGAGCCTGCCCGTCTCACACCCTGGCCTGCTTGGCCTCACCTTGGGCAGTAAGAGGAGACCTGAATTCCCGTGGGGCAGAGACCTTGGAGACCTTGGAGGCTGAGGTCCAGCGCCCACAGAGGATTTGCTGGTATCCCGGAAGCCTCAGCCTTCCCACCTCTAAAGCCAATGGAGCAGAAGGGAAGCACGCGGAGTCGTTAGTTGGCCTGGCCGTAGAGGATGCGGCATCCAGAGCTTCCGCCATGGAGTGGCCCAGCCAGCTGGCCGGACACCCACTCATGGGGCCAGATCTACAAAGGAAAGGCGGGTGACACCCCAAGAGGGTCAAAGTTCATGAGATGCTGCTACTGAACATTACTGCTTAGCTTGTCTTAAACAGGCTCGGAACACAGACATTCGGCTCCAGTCGGACAAAATCATCAAGCAACGCCTATTTTTTTTTAAAGATTTACTTCATTTTATTTGAAAGACAGAGTTACAGAGAGAGGTAGAGACAGAGAGAAGTCTTGCATCTGCTGGTTCACTCCCCACGTGGTCGCAACGGCTAGAGCTGCGCCGATCCAAAGCCAGGAGCCAGGAGCTTCTTCTGGGTCTCCCATGTGGGTACAGGGCCCCAAGGACTTGGGCCATCTTCTCCTGCTATCTCTGGCCACAGCAGAGAGCTGGATCAGAAGTGGAGCAGCTGGGACTCAAACCGGCGCCCATATGGGATGCCGGCACCTCAGGCCAGGGCTTTAACACGCTGCACCACAGCGCCGGCCCCGCGAAGCCTATTTTATGATAAAGAGATGACTATCTCATGTAACTTATTGAATGCAACGCTGAAAGTGGAAAAATGCGATGGTTTCATGGGAATGTTTTTGCAGCGTTTTAAAGTTGAAAATCATAGGTTGTAACATCCTGAGGCGGGACCATTAATATTGTGACTGATTCACCATTGAATAAAAATCAGGCTGAAATTAAACACATAATCATTCAAATTCCCATTAGGGAAGATAAACCTTTAAGAAGTTTAAGACAGGTTGTTTCATCAAAGAAGGCGTTAACTCTACTGAGTACCTCCACTCCGTGCTTTTGTGTCCTTTGTGTGTTAGACAAAAACTGCCAACAAAAGATAGGCACGTGTTTAGATGATGCAGTAAAACCATCTTTAAAAACATCTTTTCAATTGCTGTTTAGACCACAGCATTAAACAACACATCCTAGATGACTTGTCAAGTCACTTATTGTGGCTACGCGTGAAGATCCATGGCGCATGGAACATTGTTCCGATTCCTAGAAGGTGAGTGTGGTGACATGATGCTTTCTTTTCTGTCTAGGATTTCTGAGACATGAGACTGCAGATCAGTACAATGAATGTGTGATTTGACATTGTGGAGTGCACAATTTATATAGGTGGGGGAAATTCTGAAAAGTAATTATGCCTATAAAGATAGTATCGGAGGTGGATTATGACCCCTCACTGACGCCCACATCCTAACCCCCAAAACGTGTGAATGTGGTCAAGCCCGTGACAAAAGGGACTTAAGGTTTCCAACTCAATTAAATGGCCGGGAGCTGGAAAGCCCATCCTAGGGCATCCCAGAGGGCTCGAACTAGTCTCATGGGCCTTTCCCAGGTGTGTGAGAGGCAGCTGTGACACAGAAGCATTGTCTACTAGCTACCTATGCACCTGAGCCCAGCTCAAAAGGGAATGTGCAAGCGTGAGCAGCCCTGTCACTCCCAGAGCTGGGAAGGCCACACACGCAAGTGACCGCAAGACTGAGTTGAAGGAAGAGTGCCCCTTGGGTGGAAGACAGCTGATGGTGTTGGGGCTTAGCGGGGCAGGGGACACACAGGGCTGCATCGAGCAGGCACCAGCGTCCTTGGGCTCCTCAGCCTGAGCCACGTCTTAGCTTTCGCTCCAGTAAGTCAATGTGATCTTCACACGACGCGGTGCAGGGGTTGCCTCCCTGGAGATGAGACGAGAGGTGGCGGAGATGGGAAAGTATAAACTCGAGGAGGGGGTGCTTGGTGTTATTGGGGAAAAGCACTGGAGGGGGATGGACTCTGCACACATGCAGGGCCTCCCTGGCTGCCGCGGAGCCTCCGCGTGGAGGGGCCTGCGTGGCTGGGGTCTGAGAAACAATTCCGCGGAGGCTACCAGACAGGAGACTGCCAGGTGTGGTGGCTTCTTGGCTATCTCCAATCGTGGCCCCGTTAGACGTGGAGGCTTTGTCCACTTACAGAATACCCTGGGCTGCTGGCTCACAAGCTTCTAGGATTTATTAGTCACAGGTTTGGACGCTGAAAAATCCATGAACAGGTTCCCGGTGAGTTCAAGGTCTGACGATTGCCCACTTCCACGAAGCCATCTCCCCTGCTGCGTCCTCACGTGACGCAGGGGGAGAACTTTGACCTCTGCCCCTCAGCAGGGCACCATCGGAGCCCATGGGGGCTCCCCCACCAGGACCTGCCCCCCAAAAGACCCCACCTCCCAATGCCAGCACCCCAGGAGTCACCATTTCAACTTACTACAGCACACAGCCATGAAGACGGGTTAGTTCTTTCCTACCCATAAGAGAACAATACTTTCTCAATTTTCTGGAGAAAACTTTCCATAAAACAATGACATTAGATCTCTTGAAATCCCATTTTAAAAGATTGTCAGAATTAAAGGGAATTAAAGAATCTAAAAAGTTCAACTTCTAACTATTCATGTAGGTGATGCTAATGACCTTGGCAAACTGTCTTTATTTTTTAATGCCAATACCCAGGGCCTGAGTATTTCGCTTTTAAGGATCCTTGATGATAGCTCATCATGCTTGGTGATTAACAAGAGTCCAAGTAGGAATACAAACTTTGGGAACAAAGGTTGTTTTTCTGAGATACCAATATGCAGGTGAGATAAAGATCAAGAAATGTGTTCATTTCTATGTACATATTTTCTCTCTATAAACACACACACATACATATATGTATATTCAGTACAGAAACCAGTTTTCTAGACTACTTGGTGGCCTTGCATTGAAATGACAGAGTCTGGTTAACTGCATTCATTGTGAACTGTAAAAACTGAATCACTTAAGCGAACAAGAATATGCTTCTCTTTCACATAAACCCTGGGTATTCTTGGTTACAAAGTGCAATGGCTACCAGCTCGGCTGGCTTCCTGAAGGAGACGGGGACTCTTCAGAGCAAGCCTGGTTCTCCAGGGGGAGACCCGGCTGCACCTCTGGGGGCCGCTCTGAGAGGCTGATGCCACCAGATCGACCTGGGATGCCACAATCTGGTTGTGTGCTCTCTGTACCTTGCCTGGAAAGGAGTTGATGGGCGAGTGGAATCATCTTTAAGAGAGGACTTTGGAGCCAATATAAAGTTAGCTGTCTAATAGCGGCTGCCGTGTGATCACTGACAGGCTTCTTAGATGAGGTAGCCTGGGCAGGCACCCTGGCGCCGTGGGATAAGCCACCGTCTGCAGCGCTGGCATCCCATATGGAGGCTGGTTTGAGTCCCGGCTGCTCCACTTCTGATCCAGCGCCCTGCTAATGCATCTGGGGAAGCAGCAGAGGATGGACCAAGTGCTTGGGCCCCTGCACCCGCACGGGAGACTCAGAAGAAGCTCCTGGCTCCTGGCTTCAGCCTGGCCCAGGCTAGGCCATTGCAGCCATTTGTGGAGTGAACCAGCAGATGGAAGACCTCCTTCTGTCTCTCCCTCTCTCTCTCTGTAACTCTGTCTTTGAAATAAATAAATCTTTTTTTCTAAATAAAAAAAAAATAGCCCAAAGGATTCAACAAAAACTTTTCTGCCAACCTGAGATTTGGAAAGTGAATTTTGGGTAAGAAATCAAATCAACAAAAATAAAACATAATTTAAAGACATTTCTGCCTACATCACCGATCCCCAACAGAAAAACAGTGTGTGGAGTTATTCTGGAGTGAGCTGAGTCACCTCATGTCAGAAGCCAGTGCACAGTCAAGGGTTACAAAGTGTCACGAGTGAGCTGAGTCACCTCATGTCAGAAGCCAGTGCACAGTCAAGGGTTACAAAGTGTCATGGTGTCATCACTGGGTCCTCCAAAAGTCACATGTTGCTATTTATTTATTTTCATTGAAAGGCAGAATGATACAGAGAGAGAGGGAGAGAGAATGTGAGCGAGCGAGCTTCCATTTTCTGGTTGATTCTCCCAATGCTCACAGTGGCTAGGGCTGGGCCAGGCCAAAGCCTGAGAGCCCCAGACTCCACCTGGGTCTCTACATGGGTAGAGGGACCCAAGCACTTCAGCCATCATCTTTTGCCTCCAAGTATATGCATTAGCAGGAAGCCAGAGAGGAAGTGGAGGTGCCAGGAGTCGAACCAACACTCCAGTGTGGGATGTGGGTGCCCCAGCTGACAGGCCACCTGCTGCACCACAACACCTGCCCCCCATGTGTTGGAAGCTAACATCCAATGTCACTAGGAGGTGGTCCTTCTGGGACCATTCTGATGAATGGAACCTGGGCCTTGATAAAAGGGAGCTTTGCTGCCCGTCCACCGTGTGAGAATGAAGCAAGAAACTGCTGTGGCCAAGCCCTTGCCAGACAGCGGATCTGCTGTGCCTCTCACTTCCCAGCCTCCAGAACTGTGAGCAGCACCTCTCTGTCACTCACAGATGACCCAGCCTAAGGCCTGGGTGCACTGAGTTTTCAAGCAGAAATCGGTCAAGTCTTGGGTGCACTGAGTTTTCAAGCAGAAATCGGTCAAGTCTTAGGGCAGGCGTAGACCAATGCTGGGAAGCTGTGGGGAGGGAAGGGGAATGTGGGGCGGAGAGCAGAGAGCGAGGCAGTCCCACGGCAGGGCGCTGGGCAGCACAACGCAGGCCTCTGAGCCTCTGCACCCATCGTGGTTCAGTCGGGAACGACATCAAGAACCGGGACCCCAGCGTCCCGTCCTCTACTTTGGAGCGAGTCACAGCGGCGGGAGCCTGAGTGCTCGCGTCTGCTGAATGAGAGGATCGGGCCCAGGTGACACTGCCGTTCTCTGTCAGTTCATAACCATTTTATGCCATTGTGCAGTCTGGTTGGGTTATGCACTGGTCAGCTAGTACTGCCGTGATGAAGCGTAACACACACCCCTCAAATATGAAAAAAAATTCTTGCTCACGAGTTTGCTGCCTGGCTGGGCAGTGGCCAGCCTCGGCTTGCCGGGGCTGGGCTTGTCACTAGGCGTCAGACTGGGCTGTGTCGGCTCCTCTGGGTCTCTCCTCGGGCCAGTAGGTACACCGGGTTGTCTTTCTCAGGGGAGATCACGGCAGTGACCGGGCAAGCCGAGCCACAAAGGGCATCCCAAGCCTCTGTCCTAGATTCTCTGCTGGCTCACCCTTGGCCGCCAGTCCCAGCCCAGGATCAAGGTCCATAGCCCTGAGACGTGCATGCCCTGGCTGTGGGAGCTGCCCACGCCAGAGAGCAATGGCGGATCCACCACGGTTGGGTCTCCTGAGTCTCGCGGCTTAGTCACTGATCCTCCCGGAGGCTGGTTGGATGTACCTGAAAGTTGAGAAAGCCCAGAGCAGCCCCTGTAGATCTTGAAAAGGCCAGGGGGAGGAAGAGAAGACGGAGCAGAGTTTTTCCTCTACTGCTGTGTGCCGTCTCCCACCTCAAGGAGATCGCGTTGCACAAAGTCGAGATATGAATGTGTTCTTTTATAAAGTGTTGGATACGGAGACACAGGCTAATAAAGATAGCATCATCATGATGCCAGTGTGCTGAGACCAATGCTGTACCCGTTTTGGTTTCCCATCCAGACTGTTTCTACACATATGTATATCAGTGTATGAGAGTATGTCAAAAAGTCATGGAAACTGAACTTAAAAGATAAGTAGTAGTGTGATGCAAAAATTCTTGAAATATATGCCCAAGAGGATCTTCAAGAAGTTCACAGGAAATGCCTATTTTGAAAAACCTTCATGGATTACAAAATTTCTTGCAACAAAATAAACTTTTTTTAAAAGATTTATTTTATTTACTTGAAAGTCAGAGTTACACAGAGAGAAGGAGAGGCAGGAAAGGGGGGGAGGAGGAGGGAAGAGAGAGAGAGAGAGGTCTTCCATCCGCTGGTTCACTCCCTCAAATGGCCGCAACAACTGGAGCTGCGCCAATCTGAAGCCAGGAGCCAGGAGCTTCTTCCGGGTCTCCCACACAGCTGCAGGGCCCAAGCACTGGGGCCATCTTCTGCTATCCCAGGCCACAGCAGAGAGCTGGGTCGGATGTGGAGCAGCCGGGACTCAAACCGGCACCCGTATGGGATGCAGCACTGCAGACAGTGGCTTTACCTGCTGCTCTACAGTGCCAGCCCCTAAACTTTTTTTTAAGTCAGTTTTCTGTGAAGGTTTTTAAGAACTCTCGTATCTTCTAGGCAAAGGAGAGAACTGGTGTATGTCTTGGGCCAGGAGGGTCATTGATGGCCTGGGCAGGAGGCAGAGTTGGGGGAGCAGGAGGCTGGCCCCTGTGACAGGCGCCCTCCTGAGGGTTTCTTACAATACCAGTGCAGGATCTGCCTTGCTGGGTAGCCCCTCCCCACACTGTGGGGCTCTGAGCACCATTGTGTTCGTGATCCAAGCAAACCCGGAAGGGACAGAGATGATGAGGAATGTCTCCATCTCAGACAGCTGGGTCGCTGTTGGCAAGCCTGCTCCCTATGGGCCCATGGCATTTCAGGTTCAGTCCAGGCTCTGTCCCACACCCAGCCTGCAGCTGGCAGGGAATTACTGAAGAGTAGCGGGAGGCAGGAGGCTCTCAGGGACATAATGATTCCCGAGTCCCTGCCTTCCTGGGTCGGCTCTCAGAGGGGTGTGCGAGGGCTCAGCGTTGAGCTGGTCTACCCGGCCCGTGGAGACAGGAGCTCCTTCCCTGGGTTTCCTGTGTGTTCTCCCCAGCGTTTAGCATCTCTTGCCTGCAGACTGATAGGAGCTAAAGATACACAGGGGTCAGCCTGGGGCTGAGGGAAGGAAGGACAGGGTTGGCTCCCTGGCCTGCTTCCATTCTAGACCCCGAAGCGGCTGGAGGAGCATCCTCAAGGCCCCGGGTGGCCCAGTCTCATCTCACGATGCCAACTCCATCTGTGATAGCCAGGGCTGGCATGCACTCGGCCGCTGTTCCAAACGAACTTGCACCTGCTGTAGGGGAGTGGGGCTGAGACTCAGAGAGGTTGAGTAAGTTGCCCCGCATCACACAGCCAGGACCCAAACCTGGGCTTTGTGGATCTCAGAGCCTTTCGCACTTGGATTAACCCTCTCTTATCTGCCTCCCTCCACATGTCTCTCTTGAGAACTGTGGATGGTTTGAGTGCATTGAAGTTTCAAAGGACTTCCGTCATGGTGGCCGAATGTCGCTCCCCGTCTTCGCGGAGGAACGACACTAAACCCTGCCTAGGCTTCATATCCGAGTTGCGGCACCATTATGTCGCTCCCCTTCTTCATGGAGGAACGACACAGGACCCTGCGCTGTTCTTTTGTCTACTCGGCCCTTCCCGGGTTTGCTGCTGGTTCTTCCCGGGTTGGCTACCGTACCTTCCACCTCCGTGGAAGGGCGGTTCCCCCTGCCACTTTCCCCACTTCCGCAGGAGAGTGGCACACCGCCGGCCGGCTCTCTCGGGGGCTGCACAGGTGTTCCTTCAGATAGATGTTCCTGGTGCATGTTGTCTCTCTCCTCCTTTATAGTCCTCTTCCACCAATCCCAACTCTGCTACCCACACGCCGAGTACGCTGCTCTCCTCCAATCAGGAGCAGGTCCTGCTGTTTATTTGTTGAACTGGAGGCAGCTGTGTAGAAGCTGTTTCCTCCTCTCCCAGCGCCATATTGTGGGAGAGCAGATGCATAGAATAAGTCTTAATTCCAGTAACAGTCTAGTCCGAGTTGCTCCCCACAGCCGAACACCCAAATGCTGCCATTAGTGTGGCAGATACACGGCCCTACAACTCCAGTTGTCTCAGAAGATTCCCACCCCAACCCATACCTAGGTTGCTTTAGGGTCAGAAAATGCATCTTTCTCCTATTTATTGAAGCCTCCCTTTAAAATGATGTCTGACTGACGCTCATCCTGCCTGGTTTTCCCATGTTTGAGCTTGTCAGTGACTTGCATGGTAGCAAAGAACAAGAGTATGTCACAGGCTGGGTGGAGGGAAGGCTTCTGCCAGCCGACCTCGTGGAGACCCTGGGTGGCGGCACTGGTGCCAGAGTCCAGGGGCTGGCTTCCTCTTTACCTCCCCTCCCCAGGAAGACCATGAAGGGGTTGTAGGCAGCAGCCTTCTTTATGGACTCAGGCCCACGGCAGTGTAAGAGAGGGTTAATGTGAGTGCTGCAGGCTCCGGGACCCAAGGCCCAGGCTTGAGTGCTGACCGCGTGACACTGGGCTCACTGTGGAGGACGCTGCTTCTGCCTGGTCCAGACTGAGACCCCCAGCACCGGGACAGGGTGCAGAGTGAAGGTCACACTCAGGATGGCGAGGTGGCCCTGACCCAGCACCGGGACAGGGTGCAGAGTGAAGGTCACACTCAGGATGGCGAGGTGGCCCTGACCCAGCACCGGGACACCAAGGCGAACTAGGATTGCAACATTCCCTTGGGCGTCTCGATTGGGTGTGGGGTTCACACCCACGTGCATGTTGGTTTGCTCTGTGTTGGATCATGCAGGTTCTCACTGAACTCGCCCCTCCCTTTAGCACACACTCCATCCATCCATCCATCCATTCATTGTCCTAGTAAGTGTCTGAGGGCTGCCGTGTGCCAGGCTCTGCTCTGAAATGACAGGATCTTAGAACTGAACAGGACCTAGGATATTATCTTGTCCCCCTGAATGAAAGCTGCCCCAGGGTCATGATGTCAGCCTGTGGCAGGACAAAGACAGACCCTGGGACACCCTCGTCCTCACGTGCTGCCATCAGCATGCAGAGAGGGGAACAAGGCCACAGCGTCAGGGTCGGGCCAAGCCCCAGGTGCCTCTGAGGTCGAGTACTGCTGTGGGCCAAGTTCAAGAGGTTGGACTCGGGTATCAGACTGCCAGGGCTCCAGGTACTGCTCTTCTTGTCGGCTGTGTGACTTTGGGAAATTATTTAACCTCTCTGTGCCTCGGATCCTCGCACACAACAGGAATCATCCCAATGCTGGCCTCGTAGGGTCTCTGCCTAGATTACGACGTTGTTCGTGGGACGCTTCAGGCCTGTCCTGTGCCAGGAGCTTGGAGGGGCGTGTCTCCTGTGGGTGTTACTGATTACTCATTGGTATTTATTACCTCTGTGGCTGCTAAAGCCTTCGCATGGCCCAGAGTTTGAGCTCCCAGATCCCCCTGGGAATTCTGCGTAGACGTGACTGCCTCGGCCCCGCTCTTGTCTAAGAAGGGCCTCTTCACACCCCTTGAGAAGAAAGCCAGCTAGAGATGATGTAAGTCATCATCTAATTCCACATTCTTGATTTTAACCTTTTTCAGGAACTCCTAACATAAATTCCTACTTTTCAGCCTAATAGAATCCCTTTCCTCAGCCTTTATTACATATTACTGTAGCTACATGTTAAATCTGCAATGAGGGGCTGGCATGGTGGCACAGCGGGTTAAAGCCCTGCCTGCAGTGCCAGCATCCCATATGGGCACCAGTTCGAGTCCCAGCTGCTCCACTTCCAATCCAGCTCTCTGCTAGGGCCTGGGAAAGCAGTGGAAGATGGCCCAGACACTTGGGCCCCTGCACCCATGTGGGAGACCCAGAAGAAGCTCCTGGCTCCTGGCTTTGGATCACCTCAGCTCCGGCCATTGCGGTCATTTGGGGAGTGAATCAGCAGATGAAAGACCTCTCTCTCTCTTTCTCTGCCTCTACCTCTCTCTGTAACTCTGCCTTTTAAGTAAATAAGATAAATATTTTTTAAAAAATATACAATGAATATAGCACACTATTTCCTAGAACACAGTCACAGTGCAACACACACACACACACACACACACAGTCACATCCGTTTGGAAAAACTCATAACCCCTTCCTGGAAGCTCAACACTTTTGAAGAACTTATTAACCACATTTGTGAAGTAGTGAACGCTGGATTCTACAGCTCGTTTGGGCAAGGGACAGCGTCAGGGCTGGCCTCACGCATGTGTGACCCGTGCAGTCACGCAGGGCCCTGCACTTAGGGCTGGTCCGTGGTGTAATGTTGCCCTCTTGAAGTCTTACTCATGTTCTGACAAGGGGTTGTGCATCTTCATTTTGCACTGGGCCCTAAAGGTTCTGTAGCTTTTCCCAACAATCTCGTCACATCCCACCCACATGCAGTGCAGGTGTTTTGCAAAACACAGTCTCTGATGAGACCTTGTGCCTGTGTCCTGACACCTGGGCCAATGAGAGAGACTCACTGGGGAGTTTGCAATCTACATCGACGGCTAAAATTATGCCCCAGACCTCCTACTCCACATGGCTGTGCACACCGCACTAGATGCCAGCGTGAACCTGCCGGGTAGAATTCAGCTCAGCCTAATTTTGGGCACTGAACTTGTAGGTTCTTCCCCTAAAAGACTGTAGTGAAGCACTCAAGCCACGAAACATGATTTATGTGTGATTGGTATAATCTCAGCATCTCAGGGAGGAATCTTCCCCCAATTTTTGTGCAATTTCTGAGCCATAAGACTGCTTTTAGATGAACCAGTGTACGATTCAAATTGATACAGAAGCGTCTTTGAGTTGTCACAGAAGCACAGTTAAAAACTTCTACAGATCCATGGGACAGAACAGAGAATCCAGGGATGGACTTATGCAAGTATGGCCAGCGGATGACTAGCAAAGACACACAGACATTTTCATGGAGGAAACGTGGTTTTGTTCTCAACAAACAGTACAGGAGCAGTTAGATATCCAGTGGCAAAGAGAAAAAAAGGCAGAACCTCAACTTAAACCTCATATCTCCTACAAAAATTAGCTCAGGGTGGATTGTAGACTTACATGTAAAATGCAGATGTATAAAACTTGCTTCGTGCATGGTCCCAGCTCAGTCAAACCTGGCTAACGGAAGGGGAAGA